TACTTAACAAGCACCACGTGCTTGGTATGATAAAGTTGCTCAATACTTTATCTTCTGTGGCTTTAAAGTTTCTGATGCAGATTCTAGTTTGTTTATTAAAATAGAATTAAATATGCACTTGATGGTCTTATTATATGTGGATGACATGATCATTACTGGAAATAATGAAGCTGAGATTTCTAAGTTGAAAAATGAACTCTCTGTTCGATTTGAGATGAAGAATTTGGGAGAAGTTAGCTGTTTTCTTGGTCTTGAAATTGAAAAAACAGATCAAGGATATTTTGTTTCTCAAAAGACATATGCAAGAAAGTTGCTGCAGCGTTTTGGCATGGGGCAGTCGAAAGAGAAAGATACTCCAATGGAGACACATCTCAAATTGATAAAAGATGAAGGAACACTGTTAAAAGATGCTAGAAGTTTTCAGCAGCTTGTTGGTAGTTTAATTTATTTAACTATCACAAGACCTGAGATTGCTTATTCTGTTGGAATTGTATCTCAGTTCATGCAATGTCCAAGAAGTTCACACCTAGATGCAGCAAAAAGAATTCTTCGTTATGTGAAGGGTTCACTTGATCATGGTCTGATGTATAGAAGACATGAAGAATTCGTATTAAGTGGCTTTACCGACGCGGACTGGGCTGGAGATGTGAATGATAGACATTCAACTTCGGGATATTGTTTCAGCACTGGGTCAGCCATGGTATCTTGGTGCAGTAAAAAGCAATCAGTGGTGGCATTATCTAGCACCGAAGCTGAGTATGTCGCAGCAACTATGGCTGCGCAAGAATGTATGTGGTTGAAAAGATTAATAGGAGAGATGTTGCACAAAGTTGATTATGCTGTTCAACTTAGCTGTGATAATGAAAGTGCTATCAAGCTTGCGTCGAATCCCATTTTCCATGGTCGGATGAAGCATATTGAGGTTCGTCATCACTACATTCGAGAAAAAGTGCTAGATCAAGAAGTTGTTTTGAAAGGAATTTCTACAAATGACCAAGTCGCAGATATATTTACAAAGGCTTTGGTAAAGCCTAAGTTTGAGTATTTTAGAGTTGCTCTTGGAGTTATTGATCGTAAGTTTGCAATAAGGGGGAGTGTTAAAAATTAGTGCATCTTACATGTTTTATTTACTGTTTTACTTATGTTTACTGAGTCAAATAATTCAGTTCCTATTTTATAGGAATAGTATCAGCTTAGTTGTTAATTTGGATAGGATTCCTTGCTAGTTGTTAGAGTCTTTTTAGGAGTTGAACGTTAGTGGTTCAGTCTTATTTATATGCTTTGCATATCCTGCTGTAAACACGAGTTCAAGTGAAAGCAATTACATTCTTCAATGTTTTATTTCTCCTACAATTTCTTTGACTGCAATTTCTTCTTTCCTCTGTTATATTTTTTGTTTTATTCCCCACTAATTATTATTAATAAATACCGCAAACTTCCTAATCATATGGTCAATTAGCAATCATGAGGATCTTAAAAGATTTACGCTCCACTCGTATTATAATTAAAATTTAGTTGATTGTTAATAAATTATTTCCTCCATCCCATTTTAACTCTCGCTTTAGTTCTTTTTACATTTATTAAGAAAAATTATAATACAAAATATAGTTTATTAAGTTACCCCGCTATCAAATGCTTTTTGAGAATTCAGTAGTATTAAAGAAAACTATACTTCTTTAATAGTAAGGGTATAGTTAAAAAAGTGACAATTATTTTGGGATAATTTTTTAAGTTAAAGCGACAGTTAAAACTGGACGGAGAGAGTATTATTTTCTTTTTCATGTTATCAATGATCATTGTACTAGTTATACCTAATTGATTTTTAAGTAATCTCTTCATATATATATATATATATATATATGCTAATTGCCAATGTATAAATGTCAAATTTCTTGTATGAAATAACAAAACTTTGTCCTTTTTTGAGTGGGAAATCTAGTAATGAAATTAAGAAGGGCATTTTCGGCAATCAAATCTGATATAAATCTCTTGGTAGATTTGGTTCACCAAAAGGAGCCATTTTGCAATAATTCAAAAACACAACCACCGGTCTAGTATTTCGTTTTCACATATTAAATAAAAAAAAAAGAACAATAATATCTTTAAAACAGTATATAAATATCTGGGGGGAAAGGCTGACTAGTGAACAAACCATTAAACATGTCTTTTTCATCATCAATCCTTTTATAGATATATATAAATACAACCCCATACGTTTACAACTTCTCAACTAACAAAACCAGAGAAGAAACAAGAGAGAAAGATTAGGAGTTTTAGTATCCAAAATTTTGATTTTCTGTTTAAAGCTTTTGCAAGTAAAAGAGATGGAGCAGAAAAAGGGAAACATCAACAGCAACAAAGTTGAAGAAGAAGGAGCTATGGGAGTTATAGTCCATAGCCAAGTAAGAAAAATAAGACAAGAAATGGAGAAAATCAAGCATCCATCTCTTCAGCAGACGGAGATGAGACCAACTGTTCGTGAGATTACAGGAAAACAACAGCAACAAAGATCGAGATCGCCGTTGGGATTAGCTCAAAGGCCTATTTCTGTTGGAAGCTAATACTTGAATTTTTGTTCTCGTGTTCTTCCTTTTGTTAGCTTCTTCATCTTTTTGAGCTTCTTCTTTGGGTTTTTTCTTTTTAAATTTGTATATATACAGATAAAGGATGCTTTTGACAAGTCTCATCTCTTGTGTTTGTATTTGATATTTTTGTCTCCTGTCTCTGTTTTTTTTCCCCCAGTAAAATCGTCGTGTGTTAGAATTCATTGATCCGGCTAATCTAAAATTTGCGCTCTGGAAAATGCTCCCTCTCAAGGAAGACTTTGTGGGCGTTTGGACATAAGAATGATAAGAAAAGATTGTCTTTAGAGCAATTTATTCTCTCCACCCATTTGAAAATTATTTACAATATATACTTACTTAATTAAAACTAATTACCTAACCTAGTATAATTTAATTTGGCTTGGCTTGGCTTGGCTTGGTTTAGCTTGTCCTGTTTCGGCTTGGTTGGGCTTGATTTAGCTTAGCTAAAAAAAATGAGTAGGGAGAAAACATTATGGGTAGGGGTGGGTAAATAGCTAGTGGTGGGTGGGTATTTACAAAAGATTACCGAAAATATTATTGGAAATTAGAGTTTTATTTGGACATAAATATAATTTATGAATTATTTTAAAATTTTTGTGAGTGATCTGAAGTAAAAATTTTGAAAAGCAGTTTTTTTTAAACTTTTTCAAATTTTTAAAATTCATGCTAAGTGAAAATTAAAAAAATAACCTAACATTAATCTCAGAAAAAGGTGAAATTTTTCGAAAAAGAGAAATTTTTTTATGGCCAAAGGGCTCTTTATTTCGCCAAACCCGTCACCAGTAGAATTTTTTTTTATCATTTCATTGTGCCGTTATCTCTCTGTTTCATATTTCAAATTTTGGGGTATATTAGAAAAAGCGAATCCAAAATGGATTCAAATTTTGGGGTATGTATATTAGAAAAAGCGAATCCAAAATGGATTCAAACTTCAATATTTTAGTATCAAACTTCTAAAATTATGAGCTCAGTATATAATATATGCGTTTCTTTCTTTTCTTTGTTTTCTTTATCTTTTTTTTATGCATGTATTCATTTTTATTTTTCAAGTGTTTAATGATATCTGGTTCATCACATGATTTTTTTTTTTTTTCCTTTTGTGCAAATTAACTCATGTTGGCTTGTAAGAAGTTCTGAAACATGCTGTTTTTAATAAATAATCAGAATAAACGTAAAAATACCTTGCCGTCCATTCCTAGGAATCTAATGAATATGACGTTATTTAACAAATCACCTGTCAAATTTGAATACAAGAGACAAACTAATTCACATATGCGTTGGCGAAAAGTATGTTGAATAGAGAATCGTTATTTTCACATATTCAATTAAAATTCAACTTTTGAAAATTGGTGAGATGAGTTCAACAAATCTAAAGTATGTAAATTCTTTTCTAATTGCACTCTCGTCTCAGATCTATGAATAAGAGACGTTGTAGTGGATCTGCAGACTTTAAGTTATCAAAATTATCAACAGGCTCTCTGAGCACGTTAGAAGTCCGTCTCAAATCGCTCCCCCGATCGAAACTAAAAAGAATAAGTTTTCGCCTCCATTTGCTGAAAAGTCAAGACATGTTGGGGAATCTATTCGCCCCCATGTTGCCACACGGGAGAATAAGGAGACTTAAAAAGGGGATCCTATCAACTTATTCCAACCTAAGATAATAAGCTTGTTTATCCTAAAATCGGATAACAATTGAATTTATACAGGACACGTGATATAACTTGGTACAAATTAAGAAGAATGGATTAATATTGAAATTGACGATAAAAGAGTAAATGCAAACCACACAAATTGAATAGTCTTGGCCTTCAAGTTTGGTCACCCTTGAACCAAAAGATGCTTCAACTGGCTTATAAACAGAATAACAAGATATGAAAGCTAGAAAATAACAGTATATTGCTATGTATTGCGTGAATATGATGTCTTTTACAAATGATCAGACCCCCTTTATATAGTAGGGGAATCCTACTCTTGATACAATTCTATATAGGGTAAGAAATCTCATGATTAGCTAATTAATTGGCCTCTTCTTGATACATGCCGCGATTTTCGCCGTGATCCTAGCTCGATTGCGGGTATTTCGGCTTTCCGTTACTTGGCTCGGTAAGCTCCCCTCAACCTCACTCGATTTCTATCTTGCTCGGTCTCGATCTTGGCCGATCTCGATCTTGATCGGTCTCCGGGTATGAGCTCGGCGATCTGACTTTGCACCATGGTTCGATATAACACGAGGTTGAACCTTGGCCTACCATGTTCCAGTCTCGAAGGGCAAACCCGATTTTGACCGTATACAAAGCTCATGAGCTTAGTCTTACTTCACCGTCGAGAAAGGAAAGAAGACTTACCAAATCCAACTTGAAAAATTTACATTGGACTTAGAGATAATCAGGCTCGAAATAATGACTTTCCCCTCTATTATGGTACCGGATGGTTCGGGAAAAAAAATTACTAAGCAGGCGTTTGGACATGAATTCCAAAATAAATGTTCAAATTTGGAATTTCACTAAAATTTGAGTTGAAGATGAAGTTGTGTTTGGTTATAATTTTTGCAACATATTTGGATGTCTTTTTTTGCAAAACAATGAAATATGATTTATACACATAACTTGTATAAAATTATCAAACCGCCCCAATTTAATTATCCTACTTGAAATAATCAATCAAACATGCTATTGTTTAACTGTTATCATATTCTGCTTTACTTCAATATACAGAATATGCAAAATGAGTATCACATTTCTAACATAGTCCGCTTCCCACTGCTATTACCAGTACTTGTATTCATATTCACAGGCCCAGTACCAACATGATAGTCGTCACAAGAAAAGGGTTCATTATCCGCTGCAGTAGCTTCATCTGATCGTCGAGGGGAAACAGGTGGGTAGTTTTAGGTTAGTAATTGATGGGGTCATTTTATAAATTTTAAAAGTATAGGGTAAATTTGTAAAATTAAAAACTAGTGAAAATGCATTTTCAATTGAAAAACTGGTAAGACCCCGTTTTTTAAATTTGAAAATGCATTTTCAAGTGAAATTGGAAAAATTGGTAAGATATTGATAACTAAACATTATTTTCAAAAAAAAATTTGGAAAAAAGAAAAAAAATTTGTATGTCCAAATGGGCTCTACTTTTGCGTTTCTTCACTTCTTGTTTTGGGCTTTTTTTTTTTTTTAAGATGTAGGGTGTGATGACAAGTCTCATCTTTCCTGTTTTTTGTGTTTGATATACATGATCTGCCTCTCTGTTTAATATCTGCAATTTTGCAGAAATAGAACATATAATTTGGTAATTCAAAATCCTATAAGTATTTTCTTTTCTTTCTTTATTTCATTTTTTTATACATATTTATTTTTTCTTCCAGCTCACAAAAAAAAAGGTTAGGTTATTTTTTCCATCTATCTAAGTTTTGACGAATAGAGTTCTCATGTGCCTTCAAACTGGCTAGAACGTCAACACTATCGACATAAATAAATAAGTAAATAATATTTTCATTGTATATTACACGAGTCCTACATGTCTGGTTTTTCACATGATATCCGATAGATATTTCTTGTAATTATTGGCTTGTAAGATATTCTGAAAGATGCTACTTAAATATAAATCTATCTATCTATATTATTATAAAAGCATGAATAAAATGTCGGATTACAAAAATAACCTTTTAATATTAAGCATAATAACTCAAAATATAAGGATATAATCGGAATTCTAGACATTAGCCTTATAATCCTATTAGTTTTAGGACATAATACTACACATTAGGAATCCTACATGATTACCATTAGGAATCCTATTATTATTATTATTTTCGGGCATATATATTAGCCTTGTAATCCTATTACTTTTAGGATATACTTCTTAAAAAATTTCTATTACTAATTTAATTTGAAAACGTATTATATTGTCCAAATCCATTTAGAAACATGATATTATTATAAAAGCATGAATAAAATGTCGGATTACAAAAATAACCTTTTAATATTAAGCATAATAACTCAAAATACAAGGATATAATCGGAATTCTAGATATTAGCCTTATAATCCTATTAGTTTTAGGACATAATACTACACATTAGGAATCCTACATGATTACCATTAGGAATCCTATTATTATAATTATTTTCGGGCATATATATTAGCCTTGTAATCCTATTACTTTTAGGATATACTTCTTAAAAAATTTCTATTACTAATTTAATTTGAAAACGTATTATATTGTCCAAATCCATTTAGAAACATGATATTATTATAAAAGCATGAATAAAATGTCGGATTACAAAAATAACCTTTTAATATTAAGCATAATAACTCAAAATACAAGGATATAATCGGATTCTAGATATTAGCCTTATAATCCTATTAGTTTTAGGACATAATACTACACATTAGGAATCCTACATGATTACCTTTAGGAATCCTATTATTGATCACGCCCAACTATGCCTTATAAAAAGGACAATGCGGTCGTTGCAAATATAATCCGGTTTACAAGTCCGGAGTCGAATCCCACAGAGAACTAAGGTTTAGCTACAGCTGTTCACTATCACCAAGAAGACAAGCTTGAACAATTCCTAACTTATAGATATTAAGATTCTTGTGTTTAACTACTTAACTAACAAATTAAAATAGTAAATTAACAACTAAAGATATTGAGGGTTAGAGAAAAGATTAAGGAGGTCTAGAGTTATGATTTCCCCTATAGTCGGAATCCTTCCCGCTATGTCTTCTATAATTTCGCCTAAGTATTCTCTACCGATCATGAGCACTCTTATTACCGTAAATCTCTCCCGAGTAATTACGACAATTTACTAGACGCACTCTCCCGAGCTACGCTAGCTGGCTTTTAATACAGCTCACTTCAGATCGCACCCAAGGCTTCGTTATCCCTAATCCCGCCTTTAAACCCTCGGTTATTGATCCCTCATATACTTTGGGAGTGGTGTTGTTCAACAATTACCTAAATATGCACTCTCTCCCGAGTTATGCATACTAAATAGGCACAGCTAATTGAGAGCTCTTCAATCAACCAGAATATAAACGTAGTTGAACAAATAGAGAAAATCTATGGCTCAATTATATAAAAACATAACAAGAATTTATCCTACAAAAGGTTCTATCAAA